GGGCGCGGAGGGAGGGGGAGGCCGGAGCCGGAGCCGGAGCCGAAGCCGAGCTGAGCCCCGTGTCGCTTCTCCCCGCGCAGGTCCTCCATCCTGAGCGAGGTGTCCACCCGCTCCCGGTCCAAGCTGCCCTCGGGCAAAAACATCCTTGTCTTTGGTGAGTATTAACTGCAGGGGGGTGTTTCCCGACAGGGGCCAGCGCAGCGCCCGCTTCATTGCGGGGGGCTGGGGGTTGTCACGCGGGTCCGGGTCCGGTGCCAGCGCGCTTCGGTCTGAAACGCGGCAGCTTCCCTGCCGTGGCAATCGCACAGGTGCCGGCCTATTGAAATCCATCGGCGTTGGGCTTTGCACGCTCGCCAGTTCAGCCGAACGGGTGTTTAAAGCTGTCCGGGCTGTCACTTCTTTCCGCGTGTAGGTGGGGCCTGCTGTTGGCGTTGCCGTGGCGGGTGTCCGAGTAAATCGGGGTCTCTGCTTGGGTGGAAGCGGATACGTTCATCTGAACCTGGTTTTGTTTTTAGATGCGGATCTAAAACGGCCTCGTACTTGGGGTTGTTACTAGATGCCGCCTTAACCTGAAACTTGTGGTAACGTGGTTTGGGATCAGTGGAGAACAGCTGGTTTTTCGGTCAGTTGGACTGCAAAAGGGTCGCTTGCCTGGCTGAAACCCAGGAAGTGAGTCTCGCTCCAGAGCTAGAGCTCCTGTGATTGGTGCACGTCCATATAAATTTTGCTTTTTGTTAAGTGCCTGTTCCTCAACTTTTTAGGATTCAGCTCGTTCCAGTAAGTTCATTGCTGCTTAAGATCACATGGACTATTTAGTGTCCAGGCTGCTAAGCACTCTGTGCTATTCGTTATCTATCCTTATGTGTTATATTCTTAGCGTATGTCTTCAGTGTGTTGTACTCTTAGTGATAAATTCAACTAACTGTTTGCACGGAGATTTTAAAACCAAGTCCTTCCCCCCCTAGAAATAAGACCGGCTGCTTTGTTTTGTTTTTTCCTGACTGCTTGAGCACACTTGAAAACAACCTATTCTGCAAAGAACAGATTTCTGAACGTATCTTTTTGTTGTACAAACTTACTGGCAGGTGATGACGGTTCAGGTAAAACAACACTTATGACTAAAATACAAGGAGCGGAACATGGCAAGAAAGGAAGAGGGCTGGAATACCTATACCTAAATATTCACGATGAAGACAGAGATGGTGAGTTTGCTACATCTGCATACAGCGTTTGCTGTATACACCAATCAAGTCACTGATAGGTTTTGTAATTTTTATGCATTTTAGTAGTGTGTATTTTGGATTACACCCAAGTGGCTGGGTTAAGCGTTCCATTACTGTGTATGTTGTAAGAAAGTGATGTAGCTGTCAAAAGAAAAATGCATTTTGCACTGAGTACTCTCTCTCTCACTGTTCTCACAGCTTGGCCTCTTCAGGAGACAAAATACCTTCGAACAACATGTTCTCAGAGGATCCATTTACTTTCAGGGTAGATATTTTGCTGATGCTGATAGACTGGTAGATCATTCTAGCTGCTTATAATCGTATACAAATGCAACTCAATCCATGCTCCTGCAGTGGGGAAAAATTAAAGTGACATATCCAAGAGCATCCTGCAGTCTAAATTTGGATTTACTGGGTTTTGTAACCTTTTTTTTTTTTTTTTTTTAAGCAAGCTGTATGTAGGTCACATTTTCCTGTATCTTATACATGTTGGCTAAGTGGTTACTCTTATCTACATAAAAGAGACATTTCAGTAAAGGTTATTCGATGAGTAAAAAGAAGAATAAGACACTGACAGAATTAGTTTTTCCCTTCCCCTATATAAGAGTGCGCTGGGTTTTTTAACCTTTTTTTTTTTTTTTTTTTAAGCAAGCTGTATGTAGGTCACATTTTCCTGTATCTTATACATGTTGGCTAAGTGGTTACTCTTATCTACATAAAAGAGACATTTCAGTAAAGGTTATTCGATGAGTAAAAAGAAGAATAAGACACTGACAGAATTAGTTTTTCCCTTCCCCTATATAAGAGTGCATCTCTATCTCATCCTCCTCCTCCTTCCCAGAGCTGTTAAAGTACTGCTAGCTTCATCACTATTTTTCCCAGCCCACTGGAGGCAAGATGCAATGTAATGGGTAGGTGAAGATCTACCAGATGGAGCACTAGTGTGGTTCAAGGAGACCTAGGGATTCTCTCCAGTTATGCTTCTGATCTCTCTGATCCTGGGCAAAGTACTTCATTTCTTTGTGCCTTATTTTTCTTGTGTCTACACGGGAATGATGATGCTGACCACTGCTTATAAAAGCTTTGGGATAAAAATGTTTCTTTGTCCCTGAAAATAGCAAGGGAAAATAGCAAGGAGGGTATCAAGTACCCCAGATTCCAACTTGTGCATGTGGCTTATAACCCTTAAGCTTACATCAGTAGTCAGTGGGGTGGCTCTGATGCTTTTTGAGGTTAGTACTTGGATTAGAGATGTGCTCTGTTCCCTTGTGAAGTAAGAGTAAACTCTCTTTGTTGCCAGTGCCAGGCAAGTCAGTGCCAACTAAAGACACTTCTGCTAGATGGATTTGTATTGCCTTCAGTGAGCACTTAGACATCCCCAGCTTGAAGGAAATCTTTTGTGCTTGAACTTTCATTGCTGAGGCCAGTCTTCCCTTTGAATTACCTACACCATAGAATTATGTTCTCAACATTGATACTTAGCACTTTCTTCAGTTCTGAGCAAAACAAACATGCCCTAGCTTTGGTGCGAGGGGCAGAGGAAGGCTCCTTTTGTATCACAGAGATTTTTGTTGTTATGGTCTAAGAAAGATAATATCATACAATGAAGCTGTTAGTAGGCAGCTCTTTAGTGCTCTGAGGATTCAGCCATAAGTTAGGGACTGCCTGTCTGAGATGTCTGCCTCGATTCAATCAGAAATTGGTTTTGCTGTTGTCACTTCAGGACTGGTTTTCATGCCATCTTTGACTGGTGATGACTCTTTAGTGCCATTGTCAGGGCCTGTAGCCATGAGAGCTCCTTCTGGAGAAGGTTAGCTTACTGTCACCTTACTTACTGAAAAAAACACTTGGTTGTATAAAACTTCCTGGTTAGCCTTTGGGTGGCCTGGGAGGTCTGAGTGATTCTTGAACAGATTCAGGAGTGCCATCCTGGGTTCTGAAGGTCTTGCTTTCTTAGGTTCCTTTGGTCATCCTCTTTAACCTATGGGGCTTTTCTGGCTGAGGTCCTTGCCACTGAGTTTGAAGATAATAGGTCTGTCCTTAAACCTGTTGTAGTTCCCAAGCCAATAAATGTATACGATTTCCTGCCACGTTTGTCACTCTGATGGAGTATTAACATCTGCACTATTGCCCCTTTCATTGACCCACCCAGTATTCTGACAGCCTTCCTCATTTAGAGGAGGAAGGAAAGGCTTTGGAGATATGCAAGAATACTTTTAATTGGGAAGAAGGGATTTCTCACTCCTCAATCCCTGTTGGGGATGTGATCCTTTTGTCTCTGTTGTCATCTATCAATTTGTTTGGAAACTTCAGGTATTTAGTAAAAATACACTGTTGGACTCTGCTTGATTCAATTCAAGCCTTTGCACGAGTCACATAAGTAACAGGTTTTAGCAGGGCCTGTAAAAAAAATCAATTCCTGACTCTTTTATTCTCTCCTGTTGTTGGCATCAGCAGCCAGCAAACTATGTAGTAAAATAGGTGAGACCCATCCATCAGCCAGACATGACAAAGATTTTTTTCCCTTGAAGTGAAAATCAAGTGCTCTGTGTAACTATGGCCAAGAACTAAATTGATTTGACAAAGTACCAGTTTTTTCCTTGGGAATAGATCCCTTTTAATTGAGAATGTTTCTGAGGAGCAGCTAAACACAGCAAAACAGGAATATAGTGCTCAAGATCATACCACTAGCTTAGCTCATGACTTATTTGGCATTTTAGACCTGTATGTCAGTAGAGTGGCCATCTACAATCTCCAAACTTTCATAAGACAAAGGGAAATCACATCAATTCAAGTGTTGTAGAGACCTATGGCTGAAGTCAGAGTAGGTAAGCCTTCATATCACTTTGCTATGCTACTGGAAACCTTTTCTAGTATCTTCAGGTTTGTCAGCCTTGGTTCCTGAAACTGTTAATTATGGAAGGACAAAAGAAAAGGAACTTGACAGAGTCATTATCTGCTTCCTCCTCCCTTTGTGTTGTCTCTGGGAATAAGGTGGCAGATTTAGTAGTTCAAGAGTCTAGGCAGTGATGCTTATTCCCCTTGATCTATTTGGAAATTATTCAGTCTCTTTACTTGAAATAACACTACTGTAGATTGCTAAGTATGTGCTCTACTTTGCCCTATGATTCTCGCCTTTTTCCCTCAGGATTGTGTATGGTCTAAAATGCCTACTTTTCACACAACAATTGGACCAGTGTGTAGAAAATGCCTCTCTTTTGTGAGGCAACATTATTGCTAGTAGCGATGCTGTCTTTTGGCTTTCCTCCCACACCAGCAGCATCTGCCCAGTTCTTGGCTTTGGACAACATCTGTCTTGGGTGCCAAGCTATTTATGCAGTCTTTTAGTTAAATAACTAGCCAGTTCGCTTCTATTTTTGCCAGACATTAATCATTCAATTTAATGTGAAAACTACTTTAGTTGCTTGGGTCTTTAGCCGTCTTGGAACACATCCACTACTGAATCTGCCTGAAAAATCTCCTTTCTAGGGTGCTGGCCCAAACTGTCTAGGTGAAGGCATTTGTTCCAGAAGAGGTTCAGGGACACCTGGGATCCTTCTAGATCGTTAGCCTCAGGTACAGTTTCCTTGTAGTTTATGGCTTCTTAGCTTTTCTGCGTTAGGAATAAGATTTGTTATAATGTTGTGAAATTCATTCAAAATACAGAACTCGGAGTTCCTATGTTGAAGGGAGTTCTAGGGATTACTAGGAGCTGTTCCTGAGAGTCTCTTTTCCCAGTCCATTGTGATCACCATGTATGTATCCCATCTGGACTGGTGAGCCTCCCAAGAATTGGCATCTGTAATTGGCAGTGCATGTAGGAAATTTAGTTTCATAAACTGCCCTTTAAAATTTCTCTTGCCACTGGTAAGAGGCAGTTCTTCAAGCAACAGTGCACAGAAGACTAAAGCAGGAGGCATTGGTTATGTGATATTAAACTTGGTGTTCGACTAATTAAGTGCATCTCTACATATTAGTTATAGCGTTACTGGACTACTTAATTTGCAATCCAAGTGGTTTTTGATAGCTCCAGACATGTATCCAGAGTAGCATCATTCTGTTATTGTATTGCTGTTTGTCACAAAGTTGAGTTAGTTGTGCTTCATAGTGGGTCTGTGCAAGGTCATTAAAAGATGTTCCAGTTGGATTAGTTCTTCCAGCCTGATCCAGGTGCTGTTGGCACACAGGTTATTATGGGAGCCTCCATTTTGGCTTTGGAGCTTCTGACTTGAAGATTGTGTCTTGTTTTATAGGACACATTTTTTATTTTCTTAGTTTGGATCACAGATGTCTAGCTGCCTTCTGGGCTGATATGATTTGATAAGCACTGCAAGTTTAAATGATTCTCTACGCTAGAACCATAGCCGGGGTCAGCAACCTTTTGCTTGCAGACTGGGTCTGGCTGAATTTCCTGAAGCTGGGTATGTTGGGGGGCATGACTTAGAAGTGAGCAATACGCAAATGCAGCGCTCACTAAAAACCCACAGTTCTTTGGGTAAGCAAATAACTGTATAAAGTTAACGATACCACTAGGAAGTAGGATGGGCGAACAGAGTTTATAATTAAAAACAATGATTGGGTTTTTATTTCTGTGGTGGTGCTTTGAATAACTTATGTGAATGAAAGACCCAGGACTATTTCCTGAAGTCTGTTTGTTCTTTTTTTTTAAGAGATTGTAGCTCAAGGCACTGTTAAAGCCATTTTGCTGAAGAAGAGACCAATATCTCAAACATAGATGCTCTCAGTCTCTTATTCTGTACACTTTTTTTTTAGCATCTCCTGATGCAAACTCAAGTATTTTGCTCATTGGCTTAACTGTATGAGGATAGCTGGATTTGCTATGCTTCTTTTTAATGAGCAGTTAACTCTCTATTCTGTAAAACAAAATAAAACGTAACCTTAGAACATGGGGAAAGTAGGCTTAAATTAATTACATACCTTAAAACTCTTGGTCTCATGACAAGTGCCTAGTATTGCAGTGAAAACAGATTTTGCTATAGCAGTGGAATCGGATTATTGTAGATGTTAATTTTGTAGAATATTATTTCCACATGTTAAGAGAGACAGAAGAAGTGTCTATAACTTAAAATTGTAGTTAAGTTTATTATCAAAGTGATAGTTTTGATTACACCAATATCTACAATGCAAATAGAAATGCATCAGCCGCTATGGTAGAATTGCAGCACTTAGTTAGCAGTGCCTATATTAAACAGGACACTGGCTAAGCTACTAGGAGAAATGTAGATGCCAGTGTACTGTATTGTATATGCTATTTTTAAGATCATGACTTGCATATAAACACTAAACAATTTTAGAAAAGCAATTTATATCATTATGTTGTAGCCTCTTCTCTCCTTTCAGTTCCTGAGCCAACTCTCCTCTCCCCCACTGGTGCCAGTGTGAGTGGCCCTAGCGGCTCTTCCTCAGCCTAATGGGAGAACACCTCTGTCACTGCAGGGACTCTGATATCAGCCATTTTGTGACGTTGGGTGGGAAACAGGGGAACTGCAGTACCAGAGTGAGAGCTGGGGGAAGCTGTTCTTCCTCAGGAGGAAGCAATGAAGACAGTTTGGTTGCCTTTTTATTATAGCACTAGCAAATTGTCCCTCAAGAATGATGAGGGTGGGGGAACAACGACAGAGCGCCGCATACCACCACCCTGTGCTGCCGCTGCCTCCAGGAGCAAGGGGATGGAGGCAGGCGAAAGCTTGCACGTGGCGGCTGCTGCCACCAGCCTGTGCTGCCACTGCTCCACATCCAGCTGCATGCCACCCCCCTTCCCCCCACCCCTATTCTGCATCAGGCCCACCCCCTAGTGCGGGGTGGTGGGTGGCAGGTGCGGCTGATGAACTCAGACTGATGGGGTGGTGAAGCATCCCCGGGGTGGGGGGGTGTTGCAGCCAGCTGGGAGCAGGGTGGGGTTTGGAGCTGCAAGGTGGGGGGGTGGTTTGCAGCCAGCTGGTAGAATAGGTCATGGGTGTCAAAGATGGGGCCCACAAAGCCATGGTATCTGGCCCACTGGGCTCCTGGGGGAGCTGGGAATTTGGTTGCAGGGCCCTCCATTGAATCCCAGGATATGGGAGCCCCAGCAGGGGTGCGTTCTGGTGGCAGGGGGGCAAATGCCAGCTGAATTCATTTTCAGTGACTCCCTGAGCCAACACAGCAGCTCAGGCATGGCTTATGCCGAGCTGCTTGCCCCACTATCAGAAGTGGGTCTGAATCTAGACTGTGAGGCTCTCCCCCCCTCAATCCCAGTCCAGATCTGGTTTGAGTATAAGTGCAGCTGATAATGCCCCCTAAACTGTGCTTCAGGTTACTCGGAGCTTACAAAGGTACTGTATGGGAACAGGAATCTGTTCCGAATTGCTTATAACTTTGCCAATATTCTGTTGTTTAGGCTGCATTTTTAGGGGCCTATCTTGGGCTGTTTTTTGTAAACTCCAGCAAAAATGGTTCAGTTATTACTGAGAATATGAGGGGTGGGGAATAAAGGTTTTTTTTCTCTCCTTATTTAAAAGAATTAGTTTGAAGTTCTGATGACTGGGCTTTGATGGAGAGATTGAAACTTGTCTGGGGGATTGCCTTTGTGTGAGAAATGTGCCTTTAATGCTCTAGGGGTAGAGGTAATACTTACATTTGATGTACAAGTCTGTTAAATCTGTTTGCATTTCTTTAAAACTTCTAAGGGTTTGGTTGCAAAGCTCAGAATATTCCATGGGGGAAGCAGGGCATTCCTGGGGTGGTTGCTCCCAGCAGGGTTGACCTGTGCTAGAACTGAGGGAAGGGAGACTTTCTTCAGTTGGCAGCCTGGCAGCATGAAGCCTGACTCAAAACATGGCAAGGACAGGAGCTAGCCTGGGTTGGGGAATCAGGACAAAGAGCAGAGGGAGTATGGGTGAGGAGGGGAAGGAAATGAGAAACAAAGGGATTAGGAGACCTGGGTCTGAGAGCTTGGAATGTGGTTATCTGGACTGATGAGGCCTTGCTTCACCAGAAGAGACCATCAATTCCCTGCCTCATTCATTATATACTGCAGAAAATGAGGCAGTGTTCTTCAGTCAACTTTATTCACTGTACTTCTCATATTCAGGCATGCTCCGTTCCCAAGTACTGAATGAGGAGAGCTTGTATGGAAGATGCATGGAACTGATAATTATTAGACTGCATAATGTCTGTGCAACCACAGTTCCGACTTCACAGCTTTTGCTTTCCCTTTTTTGTGTGTGTTATGTATGCTCTGTAGAAAGTAGGGAAAACAAATGAACTATAAAGGTATCAAGTAGAAAACAAAGATTTGCATTTTGCAAGGCATGGTTATGTGACAGCCACTGCTGAAGCACGTGAGTTCACAGAATCTTAAACTTTAAAATAATTCAGAACTACCAAATTATGCACGCTTGTTAGTCTGGTCCTGCTCCTGGCCTCTTTCTCAGAAGTTAGCTTCCCTCCTACTATTACCTGCTGCTTATTTCTGATCAGTGAGCCATTTGGGATAGAAGCTGTTTCTACTCGTACCTTTCTATAGTGCCCAGCGCTTAATCATGGATGGTAACTATAATAAACTTGATGGCTAGGCTTGGAGTCCAGTGCAGGGGTCAGCAGATCTTCAGCCCCTGGAGTGGCCAGCTGCCTGCATTTTGCCTCCCACTCCTGATTCCCCATCCCCTCTGCAACTTGGGAAGCATCGATGTGACACAGCAGCAGGATCCACAATGAAGTAGAACACAACTCCATCCTACTGATTTTTTTTCCCCCCTCTGCCTCACCCCACCACCAGCTAGTTGGACCTCTTTGTGGGCGAGATGGGGCCTGCAGGCCATAGGTCAATGACAGTCTGATGTAGTGAATACCTACATATGACAATCAGGGCTCATAGTAGAGATGATATCTTTTATTGGACCAACAGATGTTTGCAAAAAAAATTCTTTAATTGCAAGCTTTTGGGCACAAACACCCTTCATCAGGCATTGGAGAAAAGACTGTGAAAGCTGTCCTTGGAAATGAAAGTTCATATTGCATAGGATTTCACTCAGTGAAATTATCCAGTTCATTATAGTTCCCGGGTTCGTATTTCATAGGATTTCACTGAGTGAAGTCCTATGCAATACGAACTTTCATTTCCCAGGAGAACTTTCACAATCTTTTCTCCAATGCCTGATGAAGGGTGTTTGTGCCCAAAAGCTTGCAATTAAAGAATTTTTTTTGGGAACATCTTGTTGGTCTAATAAAAGATATAATCTCTACTATGAGTCCTGATTGCCTTTTCCTTTAGACCAATGCAGCTACAGCTTGGATACCTATCTACATATGATAAATTCCGCAATGCTCTGTAATCCCTGGAAAAGATTGGAGAAAACAAATTGTTCGTATATTTTTAAAGTAAAAACAAAGATTAGCAAAGAGAATAAAGACCCTTTTTAGAGGGACATGTCCAGTTTGCTTCCTGGGTGTTCACTGCTCTTTTTTTCTTTAAGAGATGACCAGTGTTAAGCACACACGTGTTTAAAAACAAGCAGGCTAGTTTTTCTGGTAACTCTTCTTCACAATCTTTATTAGGTTTTGTAGTACCTTGTTGCTTTTCTCTTTATTGGTGAGCTAATATGGCTGTAGCAATGGGCCTATCAGTCTGAGATGTGTATAACTATCTTTTTTTTTTTTTTTATTCCCTCCCACTCCTCCAGATCACACCCGCTGTAACGTCTGGATTCTGGATGGTGACTTGTACCATAAAGGGCTTTTGAAGTTTGCTGTTTCTGCAGACTCTTTACAGGACACCATCGTAGTTTTTGTGGTTGACATGTCTAGACCTTGGACTGTAATGGAATCTTTACAAAAATGGGCCAGTGTTTTACGTGAGCATATTGATAAGATGAAAATTCCCCCAGAAGAGATGAGAGACATGGAACAAAAATGTAAGTGTCTAATGTATTTTTTTTTCTCTGAAAGGCTTTTGCATCTTTAGGATGCTAACAGGAGCCATTGTTCTGCTAGACCACTTCTGTATTGGCACATTTCCTTCTGATTGTTTGTGCATAGCTCTTAGGCAGGAGTAGGCTAAGAGTAACATAGACGTTTCAACAACAGAGCTAATTTTAAAGGATTTTTGATTAAGTTTTAAGAACTTCCAATTATTAGCATAATATCGGAGGAATTAAATACTTTCAGTGAAGGATGTAAAATATACAAGTTATAGAGTCTTGGCCCATTCAGTGAAACAACAGCACTTATGAACAACGATCCAAGTTTTTTCTTTTAAAGATGAAAACAAACTTGCATTTTTCTCTCCTCGCCATTCCACGTGTGCTACACATATATTCTAGAGGCGCACCGATATTATCGGTCCATGTCGGAACAACACCGATAAAAGGAAAATTGACATTATCAGCAATTGGCACAGCCCCTGGCCCCAAGTCTGCAGCAGACAGCCTGCCCTCCCCTGTGCACAAATCCAGGGGGCACATGCCCCCTATGCCTCCCCTGGGGGTTGTGGTGGAGCTGCCCTGCCATCCTCCCCATGCCCACCAAATGAACTGCCTGCACCTCCATCCCATGCCTTGGTGTGCCCCCCCCCCCCCCGCCCCCCCAGCTGTGCAGCGCTTGACCCTGCCCCAGCCCCACTCCATCCCCCACCATGGGGACCTCGATCTGCGCTCTCTCTGCCACGTCCCTTCCCTCCCACACATTTACCAGCTGGACACTGCTCTCCACACTGCTGGGCTGCATATCAGCCGTAGGTATCGGGCAAAAAATCTTTATCGGCGCACCCCTAGTATATTCTAAGAAGGCCTCTTTGTAAGTATTTTCTAATGCACTTCTGCTTGCCTCATTCTTTGGAACTGGGTATTCCTTGTCTATTGCAACTCAAAGTTCTGACTGTGACATAAGTCAAGGGATTCTCCAAGTCTGATAGGATTTTGCTAGTCATTAAATCTCTAGAGGTTTGTCTCCTAAACTTCTCACTTGAATGTACTTTCTAAAATAATTAATTTTCTAGGTTTTAAAAAACTTTTAGGGTATGCTTGTATGGTTCTTTCAGAGAAATTCTAGACTGGGTGTGTCCACACGTGTGTTTACGCCAGCTTTAATTTACTGCGCAGTAAGCAGGAATAGGCCAGTGTCTACACATGCACGTGTTACGGCGCATTAACGCTGTATGTGGATTGACTTGGATAATATATAGCAAGCACCCACACTGTTTCACATTTGCCAGCCCTAACAAAGGGAAGTAAGGCTGGGAAAGGGATTTGGTAGTGCATGATTAAATTCTTGTGTTTGTTACTCCAACTTAATTATGAGCAGGAGAGGAATATTCATAGTTGATTCTAAAATGCTACAGCTGACCATTCAACCCAGCTGGATATTTAGGTAATGAACAACTTGTATCTGTCACATCTTTATCATGGAGGTCTACGTAGGGAAAAAATGTGGAAGTGCAGGGAGTCTTTTGAAATTTACTGCATTACACCAGTTCGTATTTCTGTCATGAGGGGAAACTATAAACAGTCTGTTCACTGTTGTAATGAAATTGGTATTTTTAGACTTTTATCCTTGGTAAATGCTCCTAGAATTAAATTTGGTAGTATTGGAGTAATGTTGTAGCTCTGATTGGTCCAGAAATTATGTATACCTGATAAAGAACACCTTGTATTCAAAAGCTTCTCCAACATTTATTGGACTAACACATAGTTGGAATAAAGACACTACCCAGAATAAATCCTTTCCCCTAGAATTAAATGGCTTCCTCTGCATGAGAATATTTTGAATATAAAATACCTGTCTTATAAAATACTTGTGGTGGTAATTAACATTTTTTAATTTGGTTGTTTGCTCTCTTGCACTTTTTGCAAATCCAAAGCATGTTCTTGATACTAATACTGGTATGGCTTCTCCAGGAGAAGGTTTCACTTCTCCAGGCAGTATGGAAGATCTTGTTTATAGGAAAACGCATTCAGGAAATAAAGGATGTTGGTAAGGGGTTCTGTTTCCAGTCCAGCGTTCTTTAAATGGCATGGGGATTGAAGATGTTGGTACATAAATTAAAACAGCTTCAAAAGCTTTTCTTCTTTTCTCAGGTTCTCTTGACTTGACAATCCACTTAATTGAATTGTTGGTTCAAAGTTTTAAGTATAATTGCTTTAAAATGTATGCAGCAGAATAAATATATTTTCCCCTTCCGAATGCTTTACCCCTTTTTGAATGTGAAATGTTAGCAGAGAGGTCGTTTTTCTTTAATTATGTCCTTCTGTCTTGTCCTCCACTGCACTATCTGAGGGAGCTGTGCTAGCTTTTAATATGTTCTCAAAGGTTTCCCCAATTAGTGCAATGCAGTAATACCAACTGGCACTCCTGAAACTTGAAAAGTATTTTCACTTTGTGTTTTTTGAGATATTAATAACTTCCTGATATGGCCACAGAATCTTTTTTTTACATAATTTGTTGTAGCTCTGTGCACCTGGATCCTTTTCCAGATAATTTTAACTTCACCTGCACATCATAAAGGGTGTTGGATACACCTATGCATTGGTATGCAGATGGCATTTGTTTTCCCTTTAAGAGGCCACAAAACTCGAAATAAGTAGTATTGTATTGGTTTGTAAGGCTGGAGTGGGCTTTTCACTTATTTACACTCTGGAACAGGTTTATATACCAAGAGTATGGCCAAGCAGCAGTTTCCATGGGGTTACAAGGTCATCTTCTGTAGGCAGATAGCAAGTACAAGCAACAGCCCTGCTTTCCTGTGTATTGCATTGGATTATATGAAGAGAAGCCTGAAAGTGAGTGGCTGAATTGTGTATGTTCATCTGAACGACCAGAACAATACTTTTTCATCCTTCCTGTATTGTGCACCTAAACACCACATTTTTTGGTTTTTAGTACTTTATTTAGCTCGTAGATTTACTTCGTTTTTCCGTGGTTGCAATAAATCTACAATGCATTGAATTTAATGGGTAAGTTTCATTTCTGAACCACAGTTTTGGTGTGGGTTTTTTTGTGGTTTTTACTTCTGGGGAGAGAATATTTTGATCAGGGAGGCTGTCTAAACATCACATTAGAAGTGAGTTGTCTACCTAGTTATGCATATCATTTGCTTTAAATATTATGCACTAGAACTTTAGATTAACAATCTTAAAGTTTCTGAGCTGTTCCCAGTTTTGAGGATCGAGTCAGACTAATTTTTGGTTTTAGCATCAATAGATTTTTATATTAATTGATTCTAACTGTAAATACTAAAGAAGGATCATGTGGAAGTACTGAGCTGCAAGTGAAATTCTTTATGATACAATTTCAGAAAATATTGAAACTAACCACAGGTTCTTTGGTTGTTTAAGTATGCAAACCTAATTTTTTTTTTCTCTCTCTCTTTCCTTGACGTTTAAAGACCAGAGGGGTACATTGTGGTGGCACTGCTTGCTTTGCACATGGAAAGCTCCACTGCCTTAAATCGAGAGAATATCACTTTTTCATAATATAAAACTATTTTGATTAAACAGAATGACAGTGCTTGTTTCCTTGCATGCTCTGCATTGTAGAGCACCATAATAATAACGGATGGATTATTATAATACTACCACAGACTTGTATAATACTGCCACAGACTTCAGTCCAAGCAAGATCAGACGCATTGTACATGTCTCTCCCTCTCTGTTTAACCAAGTGAGATGCTGATGTGTAGTTGAGACATCCAAGCTAGTTGTAGATATATAGTGTTACTTTTTACTTTATTCCAAAAACTGATGATTGTCCTAGTTTAAACCATATGTCTCCTTTTGTAGTTATAAAGGAGTTCCAGGAGTATGTGGAACCTGAAGAAGGCTACCAGGGATCACCACAGAGAAGAGGTCCTTCATCTGGTCAAGATGATGAAAATGTTACTCTGCCACTTGGAGAAAATGTCCTGACTCACAACCTTGGTATTCCTGTGCTGGTGGTTTGCACAAAGGTGAGCTTGTACTTGAGAACTTCACATATAAAGCCCTAAACTCATTGTTCATGGGTGGACCTGGGATTTTGTAAAGGTAGGGGGGACAGGAACCAGTGCTGCAGGGATGGCTCTGGAATAGCCCCTGCCCCAATCCAGCTGGCCTGCATAGGGAGCCGAGGCTCAGCTGGGGACAGTGGTTGTGGTGGGCAGGGCCCCCTTCCCTGTGCCTGCTCCCAAGCTGACAGGGAGCACTTGGGGGACTGGGCATGGAGGGGGAGCCTGCCTGCAGCTGCTGTCCTGGACTGAGCCCAGACTCCCTGCACAGCCTCCCTGGAGTAGGGTGGGAGTGGCTCTGGAGCCCCCCCACCCCAGGGCAGCTGGAGACATTAGGGATAGTGGTAGTCCTGGGTCGGGGAGGGGATGTGCTGCTGAGTCGAGGGCAGGGGAAGTGGGAGAATTGGGGGACTATAAAAAAGTCCTCAGTGCCTTCTGAACGGTGGGTGCAACTGTGCCAGTGCACCCCCTCTGAATCTGCCTTTGCAACTGCTTTCCCTAAACCAGAGTTTCTCAACCTGTGGTACACGTACCCCTTGGGGTATGTGAGAAACAGGCAGGGGGTACGCGGGTACCCCAGCACTCTTGCCCTCTTTTCTTCTCTCTCACCCCTTACTCCCCTCAAAACTATGGCAAAAAAATTGGTGCGGTTAAAAAAAATTAAATTCCTCAGTGATAATTTAGTGTGCCGTGCTTTATGGGGCACTGGGTTCAACCCGCCTAGCTTTGGCCAACATCACCTCTAGCCCAGGTACATACATGAATTGTGCACCCCGGTGTAAAAGGCGGCAACCCTACCCACACCAGATCAGACATCTGTCATATCACAGCCTTACATACACAGCCCTTCTTCCAGCATATGGCACACATTAGTCTGTAAATATAAAATCCCCTGGAAAATTGAGTATTGTGGTACTTATTAAAATTTTCAGAATTTAGGGGGTACTTGCTACTTAAAAGGTGGAGAAACACTGCCCCAAACCAGGATTTATATTCTCTGTTATCTAAACAGTACTCTCAAAGTGGGGAGAAATGGCTTTCTCTTCTCAGTTTTTTGTGATGAACTAACTAAACAAGTCTTGATTTTAAATTTTTAAAATGTATTGTGGCGTACAAGGATCAAGTATGACAAGCCTGGTATTTCTAGTTATGTCGAAAGACTGATTGGAGGTTTATGACATGAATATTTTAAACTAAAAGTGGGAAGATGATAAATATTTTGCAAACATCTTTTTCTCCCAAATACGTTTAAGTTATTTGAGTTCAGTAAGTGTTACTGAAGCACACAAACAAAGGTGTCATTTCTCAATCCAGTTTTACTTGTTTGGTATCTTTCTGTGCGCAACTAGTCTATGCATGACGGCAGTATACGTGACAGAATACAGAAAGACTTAGGTGGGAGAAGTACTTACATATGGCTTTTTGTATGGGACTTGTCTTTTTCAGGATATATAAACTTTCTTTGCTCTGAAGTGCCTTTTTAAAGGAGAGGTATTTAGCAATTAATGGTTTAATGAAAATAGTTTAAGAAAATAGGCTTTTGACATCAACTCTAAATATCTTTTTTTTTTTTTTTTTCAGTAATAGAAATCTGAATGAGATTGTCTGTCTTTTAATTACTATGAACACTACGTATTTTATCCATTGCTGTAACTAGTGGAGTCTCCCAAACAGAGGACTGGAATAGTGATTATTAAGGCAAGGGGAAGGTCAGAGAATGAGCCTGGAAACTGGCTTATGTGCAGGTATCTAAATGTTTGTTTTTTTTTTCCCCAGTGTGATGCAGTGAGCGTGCTTGAAAAGGAACATGACTACAGAGAAGAACACTTTGACTTCATTCAGTCACACATTCGTAGATTCTGCTTACAGTGTATCCTTTCCTGATCTGCCGAGAGAGATGGGGGATATATTTATCAAGACTTACATGAGAGAAGTAAAATGCCCTAAGTAGAAATTACATCTAAAAAACTAGCCTTTAGTATCTAGCGATTTAATGTGTAGCATTTGCAGTGTAGTTACGAAAGCACAAGGGACTTAGTTAAATTTCCTTTTTTCTGAAGTTACACGTTTGATTTAGAGTTTTGGTAAAGGACTCAGAAATGTGGTACATTTTTTAAATTTCTCCCGGAGCTTGAGTTTCTATTTGAAAACTTTAGCCAGTGTGTAAGACCCTTCTGATATTTATTTATTTATTTATTAGATGTATAATGCCACCCTTCCCCCAGAAAGGCTCAGGGTGGCTTACAGTAAAAGACAGGAAACTTACAAAAGCAGGAGAAAGTACTTAGTGTGGGTAGATGGTTTCAAAACTGGGTGTCTCAAGACTGAGGGTCTGCATCTTGTATCTGCTTAACCAACATGATCCCGCTCCCTCCCTGTCCCACCAGCTCCACAAAAAGTGCTGAATGCTTGTTAGAGTTCTTTTGATGCAATTGACCCTTAAAAATAGGCATACTGGGCGTTCCCCTTTAAGCTCCCTGCTTTTGAAAATATCACTTTGGTTACATTATTTGAAGGTTATTTTGGTTTGTATTTAATGTTTAAGTACTTACACTTCCTAACTTTCCTTAAAAGAAGTGATTAGATGGTGCTGCCTTGATTTATACATCAGTTAAGGAAGAAAAGAACCTTGACTTGTTGTATAAGTACATTGTACATAAAACGTATGGCTTTCAGTTTACCACGCCTGCCTTAGTGGTAGAAAAGGATGCAGTTTTTATGTAAGTATCTTGCTTGCATCGCCAACTTGTAACTGTTTCTAAAGGAACAGTTATTCCAGAAATGTTTTACTTCCTTCTACACATCCAAGTGACTCTCGTGCCTTGAGCTATTTAGTGCATATAAACAGGACATTTGAAAGTCAACTTTTCTGCACAGATCATAAACTCTTTGAAGCAGACAGAAAGTTCTCTTTAAAACACGCATTTCTTAATTAGATCAAGAGGGATTTTTGTTTAGTCAGTCAACTGGCTTATTCTGTGAAATTTAAATCTGCTTGGAAATCTCATAGTTTCATAGTAGCTAGGGTCAGGAGGGACCTGAACAGATCATCTAGCCTGACCCCCTGCCACAGGCAGGAATGAATGCTGGGTTCACAAGACCCCAGACAGGGGATTGTCCAACCTCCTCTTGAATTTGCCCAAGGTAGGGGCGAGGACCACCTCCCTTCACAATCTCACTTCACAATACTATCCTTGATGGAGCAATAAAAGTTTGCATTCATTTAAAGTACTCTGGCCTTTTATAAACAAGGCTAAAGACAACTAATAGAAAAGGAGGTTTTAACTACAAGCATATTTCAAATTATCTAATGTTCACGTCACTGTGAAAATTCACTCTGTTTACATGTGGTCATATTTCAGCAATCTGGAAGGAAGTTTGAAATAGGTTTTTTAGATGTCCCATTCTGAATTAAATTCCCTCTGTTCTGAATCCTTTATTTTTATGATAATTTATAGTGATTTTTCTCTTCAGTCTTGGTAGGTTTACTTGTAAAGTACTTATCTGGATTTTAAGAAAAATATTTGCGCTCATTTAGTACATCTGTGGCTCATTATTGCTGTGTTATAACATCTGGGTCACCTCCTATTCCTTACCAAAGGCAGTGTAATAGCTCTGGGTTTCTTTATATGGGCAATAATACCTGTAACATCCTTTTAACTTAAATTAATAGAAGGGTGTTGTGTGACATCATAGATTTATTACCTTATTTTCTCTGTGCTAAAAGTATGTTGTGTTTTGAGAAGGCTAATGCTTCCCTAAACTTTTTTTGTTTCTCCTTTAAGACCTGCTGGTTGGGACAACGAAAAGAAAATTGCCATTTTGCATGAAAACTTCACAACAGTAAAACCAGAAGACACATATGAAGACTTTGTTGTAAAGCCTCCAGTAAGAAAGGTACATACAAGTTAAAAATATAATTTCAGTGTCAAGAAGGCAGAAACCATTTTAATTTGCTTGGATAGCAAACTAAATAGCTAGTGGCTATTAATAACAAGAAGCTTCAGCTTGTAGAGCACTTACTTTTTAACTAAATGTTGAAATTTCTATTTCAGAAGCATTTTAACTTGTTTCTATTCTCTAATACTCCAGAGATTTGTTTTTACTCTCCAGATTATTTTTTCATCAACTAAAATACACCTGAAAGTATTTTTATTTAAAGCCTTAAATTCAAATCTATTGTTTATATGGCACAAAAACCCTAACACTTCTGAAAATATTTTTCTGTAATGTATGACATGCAAATTGCATCAAAATCGTGTCTTATTGAGTTCAATAGAAGGGCAAATTTTAGAGGAGAATAAATAAAATATAAAAATATACTTTGTACTCCAAAGTTCTTGTAAAAGAAAGAGTGAAACATAGCGGAAGTGCAAACACTTGTAAAGTCTCTGGACTTCTAATTGTTGGGCAGTAGGCAGATAACAGATAGAAAACTTTCTCTGGGCTTAGGTGTAGGGCAGATAACGTACAAAAAAATTAAATGGTATTCTAGGCCAGATTTGCAATTCCTTGAATATCTGGGGTGGTGGGTGAGAGAAGGTCATCTGCACACCTTAAGTAGGAACAGGAAAAGGGATTGGGCCTTCTCCACTGGTGCCAAAGTAAATAGTATAGTACTCTACTAGCAACTTCCTGTTAGGTAGAGAGCATCCTGTGTGGTAATTGTTTAGTGACAGACATGTGTTGATTGACTTTTTGGTTGTGCATCCAAGCAAGGGTGAGATACAAATGCAGCAGAGATGCTGAATAAATAGGAACTGTGCAGCTGTTAATTAGTTAAATTATCTGGAACGTTCCCAAATTAAACTGGAAGAAAATAAGTGTCTGTCGAAAAATGCAGCACTTGGCGGCTAGTTCTGCCTTGGAGAGCTGTAAAAAATATTTTTAAACTGAAGAAAAAACATGAGTGAATAATGTATGTTTTTGAAATCCACATGGTGACACTAACAAATCCTGTTGTCACGATTTGTCCTTAATAGCTGGTAGAAGGATGCTGTTTCTTCTTTTGCTCTTGTACGTCCTTATGGGCAACTACTATGTCACTCTTGAAAGCCACAGATTAAGAATATAGCAGACTTGCTGCCCAGTAGTAAACTTCAATTTTCCACCTGGTTTGGGCACAAAATATGGATTGGATGTAACAAAGGAAGTAAAGTAATGGGTAGAAAAGTGAAGTTCTCTTTCTTTTTTTTGGAGCTGCTGTTATAATCATTTACAATTTGGGTGACTGATTTCTAAAGAGAACTGTGTTGTTCAACAGTTAGTCCATGATAAAGAGTTGGCAGCAGAAGATGAACAAGTGTTTCTTATGAAGCAGCAGGTAAGAACATGAAAATGAAAGTTATTGAAATAAGATTATTTAAATAAACAGTAAACTTAAATAAACAGCTTCACTTCAAATGTTTCATGTTGTGTGAAACTTGGGTTAATACTTGTTTTTCATTTGCATGGAATGAAAATGTACAATATTAAGTTGAATAGTGTTCTACTTCTGTATTCTAATTGCATGTGTGTGTGTGTATATATATGTGTGTGTGTATATATGTGTATATATAAATTTAAAAAAAGCATGGCTAGAATTTTCAAATCTGAATGCTTACCTGCATGAGGGCTTTTGAGAATTTAGGAGGAACTACAGGTGTCCAGCTCTTCTGAATAGGACCACTTCTTGGTGCTGAAGTATGGACGCAGTTGCTTAGCTACGGGTATTCAAATTGGAAAAGGTGTGTTTGTGTCCTCCGAGACAAAATGCTCTAACCCTTTGCAGTTTGCCAATAGCTAAAAATGTCAGGTGTACCTTCTTTAAGGCTAGGGACAGAAGTTGCACATAAACTAGTTTAAACCTGTAACAGAACAGAAATTCAGTGCACTTAAACTGCTTTAAAATGGCTGAAACTGGTTTAAGATAAACCTAGTTGGATGTAGTATCAGACTTAACTGATTTAGGTCAAACTGGGTTATGTCCCAGATCCCCTCCAGGTTCAAGTTTAACTTGCAGTTCCCCAGTATCCCAGGAGGCTTTGGAGCCCTGGGCTGTGCTGTCTGCTTCAGCGGAGCAGGGTCATCCCCGCCTCTCTTCCCTAGCTGGAGCACTATTACTTCTCCGGCTGCCTAAGGATGGGGAGGTGTGGGGACCTGCTCCTGGCTGGGAGTCTCATGCCAGGTCAAAGGGGTACCTTCTCCCTTCCCTCCCCCGCCATCTCAGCCAGCCTGGAGGCTGAAGAGAGGGTGTGGCTGGGGGAATCGCCTGATTCCCAGCAGGCTGGGAGGTGTCCTCTAGTGCCTGTAGCTACTGGTATGGGCCACTGCAAGGGACTGGCTTGCCTTGACTGTTTGTAAGTGAACGCTAGTTCACTTGCTTATCGGTTCAATCTATGCAGTTTAGAGAAACCTGCAAAGATTGAATCAATTCAGTTTTAGGCTTTTTGACCATCTGTATTTAGCCTAAGAGACTTGGTTGAGAACGTGGGGCGTGACACCATTTTTTTTTTTTTTTTTTACTTGATGTATTCAAGTACCAGACCAATGTACAAACAAATGCATACAGCATTGAAGGCAAAATAAACTGGATCAGTGTGGAGAGCAGAAACATTTTACATCATCCAGCAGAAGTAGAATGTTTGAAATTTGACTCCAAAGAGATGCCACCCTTAATATGTTGAAAGTGCACAAGACAACTTTTCCATTGCAACGTCTTAATAAGGTTTTAAATTGTAAGCAAACGCTGTGGCAGGAACTTTCCAGGTGTTTGGTTTGAACTGTGCCAGTTTTGGATATGCTACCTATTAAGTATACATAAAAGTAATATTATAGTACAAAAATGCAGACATATCCATGCTGTTATGTATGGGTGGTTGTCATCAAGTGGTGTTCTAAGCTTGGAGCTGTTGCGATTGAGCTGTAAAAGCAAAATCGTGTATGTTTATTACATAGCATTTACTTCTTGTAATTGTAGTGCCCTCTCCTGGCAAAATTTGGAAATGTCAGGTGCTTTTGCATTAATAGTCGAAAGCGGCTCGTGGTCTATCAGCTAATTACTACTTAGTTTGCTGAAATATTTTGACAAATCACTATGTCCTCTTTGCAGTCTTACCTTGCCAAGCAGCCAGCTACACCTACAAGAGCATCAGTAAGTACATATTCCATAATCTCTCAAAAAAGGTGGGGCAGGTTTGTTTTTTTCTACTCTGGGAAGCCATTTATAAAATTTCTAAACAAGGTACTTGAGAATCTATTATATGAATGGAATATTGAAAATAAACCCACCCTTACAGCGCATTAAGTGCGGGGTAGGTGTAATGTTCATAAATGTAACTACAAAATCAAATTTAATGGAGCCCAACAGATTATAATGTACCCATAGGGATTCAGATGTAATTGGTTGTGAAAACAGCATAAAATTATTCAAAAACTGATCAGGTGAATTGAAAATCTGCTGTGATTATCCTCTGCCAGTGCTATACCACTCTTCCCACAGCTGAATTTTTTTTCAATGCAAGTGTATACACATTTATTTATAAATGTAAAGGTAAAAATAGGTGGGATTTTTAAAAGGTGGCTTGTATTTAATAACTTTTCTCAACTCTACTTGGAATACATTAATCTGTTAGTGGGGATGTTTTGGGTTTTTTCCCTTCACTTATTTTTATTATTTGGACCATTTTATTTAAGGAATCTCCTGCACGAGGACCTGCAGGATCCCCAAGAACCCAAGGCAGATCTGGCCCTGCCAACGTACCCAGTGCCTCGCCGATAACATCAGTTAAGAAACCAGATCCAAATATTAAAAGTATGCATTTGCGTTCATATTTTGTCATGCATCTTATTAGCCTTTTAAAAATGAAATAGTTGATTCTTCCTACACAGAAAAAATGTGATGTTTACTCAGTAATCCTTCTGTTTGAGCTGTGTGTGACAGTGAATGGTGATAGAGCCTTAGTTTTGGACCTTGATTGTCAAGACACTTGTCATCTTGAAGTAGACTTTTACTTTTGCCAATACAGTCAAAGTTTTAAACACTGAGCTACTAGGACAGAGGTTCTCAAACTGTGGTCTGGTCTGCGAGCTCCATTCAGGTGGTCCTCAGAAAGCTTGCAGAACAATTGAGAATATCTGTACTTGTAAGACTACTGATATTAAAATATGAGTCATGTGCTTTGATTTGTAGAACAAAAAAGGCTTATTAAGTGGTCTGCTGAGACCCTCAGCAATTTTCAAGTGGTCCTCAAAAAAATAAAGTTTGAGAACCACTGTACTAGGAGTTACCTAAAACAAGGCTCTCAGCCAGTTGGATAGCTAGAATGTGAAACCTTCAGTTTTCTCTCCCATTCCCTCCCTGCTAGCCCCTTCCCCCGTATTTTGTTTTTCTCTCAGTTTCTTTGGTCTTGTACCTAACTTTCAGCTTGATTGACACCTTTTTTCTGAGCAGTGTCATAGGTATTGGTGCCCATAGTGCTTCAAGTAGCTTAGTGTTTTAAAATATTCCTAATAAGATAAAGTTTCAGTTATTTTGGGCTGATGTGCTAATTAGTGGCTTGCTTCCCCCACCCTTTGAGTGATGAAGGTAGGGGTGTTCCTCCTCATCACCAGTCTAAGGCTTTGTACAGACATTCAGATTCTCTTGGGAGAGTTGCAGCTCTCTGTTAGTGTACAGATGTTCAGGCTTTTCCTCCTAAAGTAAAATGGCCACTGCAAGATAAAAGTAACCTAGGACCAACCAGGGTTAGATCATTCCCAGGAGTGTTTCTCCTAGGAGAGTGTGTGTACGTGCTGTTAGTTGCATATAGACGTGTAGCAAGCGCTTTTAAAGAGCCTAAGGTTGGGGCAGCTATGCTGATGGCTACTGGGTATGGAGCTGTGTTGCCTAACTCCTATGGCTGCCAACAGCACAGGGCTGTCCTTTTCATAGCAAAGATGCCTGACTCGAGGGGCCATACTGGCATCCTCTCTGAGTCAGTCCCCAGGGCTAGTGCTCTGCTTCTCCCGCCCTAATTATGCTGATGGTTACATACTTAAATATATGGATTGCTCCTGTTGGGGTGGCTACTGACCTGCTTCCAAGGCATATCCCACTGCAGTATGCCTGGGTTCTGTCTTCTCACTCAAAATAGCTCTATGCTGATTCATATTCAACACCTTTGGGTCTTGCGTGTGCTCCAGAAATCTTTTTGTAGCAGCCACAGCAGTTGAAGGAAGAGTGTATTGAACACTATATTTTCTTGCATCTGAGTCCTGAAAGCATGTACCCAAACTAAGAGTAGCAGTCGTCTTGGACATTGCTGTCCTCTGTATAACTGGGATAAGTATAATGGAGAAGGAAAACACTTTTAATATTTTATTTATTAACAGATTAGGTAGACATTTGCAGCTGCCTTCTGTTTTTTAAAAATAATTGTGAGCTTTCAGGCCTCCCAGTGAAAGGATCAGCTATAACGTGAAATAACTATAGTTGCCTGGGATAAGTTTTTGTTTGTTCGGTTTTTTGTTTGTTTTTTTTTTAACTTAAAGACTGCAGAATTTGGGCAAAGTGCCTGAAAAAAACATTCCCAGGCAGAAGCTAAATTCATACAAACAAAAACCTTGTTCACACACATCTCTGTTAAAAATGAATTAGTTTGAATTAAAATGCCTTGCTGCTCTTCAGTTCAAGTCTGTGTCAGCATTCTTTCTTTGGCTTAGGGTCCTGTTTTGATTTTAAATTGGTGTTTTTATGAACTTCAGCACAATAGAAATGAGGTAGAAGTGTCTGCACAAACTTTTACTGAAAGAGTAACAAAAGGTATGAATTAAAACTTGAGTTAAGATTCCTCCAGACTAGAGGATAAACATGTGATATTAGCATGTATAGATTAACATGTGCCAGCTAGCCATTTTTAATGGCTTGCTGTAGATGTTGCTTGGCATGCTAAGTTAGTTAAATTAACCCCCGCAGGTCGCCCTGGCCCTAAGCTTCAATTTAACCAATTCAGCACTTGTCAGGCTAACATATTATTGTATATCTTTGTATTTTTATATTGGGAGGAGAGTTCTAGATACCTGTCTTGTTACTGTAATAGTGCTTTACTTACTTTGAGAACTTGGTAACATAGTGCTTATTTGCTTGCGTTTTGTCTTGCAAGGGGGAATTCAAAGGATTTGCTCTGTTTTTCAACAGCTACATGATAGAGCTGTAATTAATTTTTCTAATGCTAGAATAGCTGTAGTTTGCAAGATATACATGCTGTTTATAGATTTCAACACACCAGTTCCTATAATAAAAATTCAATCTTATTCTAAAATTGGGTTGAATACCTATGTGTTTCAGAAATACTATAACAGCTAATTTTGTAATAAATATGTAAGCAAACTTAGCATGTGTACAGTTACCATTCTGTAGTAAAACCTAAAACCATGTTTTAGACTCAGGATGAAATTCTGAGAAACACCTCTGAGAAGCTCAGGCTAGAAAGTACAACTCAGGGGAAGCAAGGCACTATACGATGTCTGTCTCTACATTGTGAGCTGCCTTCGGTGTTGGTGTATTTCAGTTTCTTCACACTGCCTTGTCCCTGGGCTTACAGAAGTTGGATGAGGGGGCAGTGGCATTTACTACTCTAGCACTGAGTCGAATAGAAGAGATTTTTCCCAAATGTAAATTTTTTTTTTTCTTTTGGCTGCTATGTTTGTCAGAGACGGAAATAATGTGTTTTTTCAACTCTTAGGTTTCCATCTTGAATCCAAAAATGTCTGTAGCCTGACATCCTGTTTCTGTCTGAGTAATGTGTATTTTTTTTTGTTTAGATAATGCTGCAAGTGAAGGCGTATTGGCTAGCTTCTTTAACAGTCTGTTGAGTAAAAAGACTGGTTCTCCTGGGAGTCCTGGAGCTGGAGGAGGGCAAAGTACAGCCAAAAAATCAGGTATTGAAAACCTGGGGTGTTGCAGAATATTTTGCACAGTTTGTGTTTGACTTGAACCATGTGCAAATGAATGTTTATCATTTTAAGCTAGTCAACTAGCAAAGCTTGACAGATGTGATTCAGAGCCAAAATATAAAGCCTTTTGAAGTTTTGCAGACTCTCAGGCTTCAGTTAAACCTGTTGTTATTTGACCCTTTTAATTGAAGTTGCACTACTGGGAAATAAAAAGCACTGAGCTTTGACTTGTATGCATGCAGAAGGTGTTAATCTACTTAGTAGTTAGGGTATTTTATTTCCAAATTCTCTTCTTATCTGGCACTTGGCCACCACGTAGTTAAAAGAAAGGAATTCAGCTTATTTGTTTTGGGCTGCTGTTTCTAATGAAATAGCTGAAATCTCTCTGGAATTCATATTTTAACTATTTAAATACTTGATGCAACAACTTGGTCATCTCGGTATTCACTGCCATCAGAAGCAATGGGTAGCCTTGGTCAAAGGACTCAATTGTATCTGGTAGTGGCACCATCACAGGGGAGATAAACCTTCCATAAATAACCAATTATAGACTAAGAAAGAGAAAAGGAAGTACCTAGAATTTTTCCACCTGCAACTTAAATGACTGAATTTGACTTTCTAATGCCTAGTGTTTATTGTACAACAATTCACCCAGAATATACAGCTGACAAAATTAGCTGTCAGGACTGGTGCTTTGTCTCCTTTATCATGTTTGCTATTGATTTTCTTTCTCCCTTTTTCTATTGGAATCAGGCTCATACTTACTTTCAAAACTGTCAGTTATTCAGTGAAGAAATCCATGCCTTATTTCTATTTTCAGATTTCTTAACTCAGTCATTATTGTGCTGTAGTGCTAGAACCACAGGCTTAAATACTGGAAAACATTCTTTTTAAGAGAAATAAATTACTGGAACAGACCTACTTTGATACAGTCCTGTTTGGGACTTGCTTAGGCTATCTATTCTGGTTAGCTTCTGTTCAGAAGACTTTTTCTCACTACTCAGTGGTTCCTAGGAACTCTTTTAAATTCCAGCCTAAATTAATTTGACACCCTCGTCGTGTCTCCCCTCCATTTAGATCAGATTGTCTTTTGTATTTATAGAGTGCAAACACCAAAACATCCAGGGAGTAGTTGTGGCCCTCCGCCTTCACTTTTTTTTTTTCCAGAGAAGACTGACTAACTTCATGTAGCCTCTTCCTGCATGAAGGTTCCTAAGCTCTGACAGATTGTGCACCACCAATTTAAATTGATACAACCTTAAGTACCACCAGCAAATTTTTGTCATATAAAGTAATTATAATAAATTTGTTAACGTGTAGCACTGACAGGTTTTCTGCGTACCTGTACCCACAGTTTGGGAACCACCATGATAGACTGTTTCCCTAATCGTTCCTAGCAGCCCCTCTCTTTCACATGCTCCAGTTTGAGCTTGCTTATCTTGGCCATGAGTGACCTAAATTCTATACAGTATTCCAGATGAGATATTTGCCATGGCCTTGTATGTGGTGGTATTGATACTATTGGACATATTTCCCTTGATAACAGCCTTGGGTTGTATTTGCCGCCTTTATGGCTCATGGTCATCCTGTGACTTCTGGCAATGGTACAATGGACTTTCCATCATAAATAAAATCCTTTCTTGTTTCCAGACTTGTGATTCTCTTGATAGGTCTTTTCAAACAACACTGATTGGACTTTCAAGCTATATTAAGGGTTCCTAATAACATAGAAATTTGAAAAAGCTTGGGGTGGAAGCCAGTGATGCTGAAGAGCCAGTAAAAGAACTACAGATATTACAAGAGATTTGAAAGGATTAATCATTGAGGAGCATATTTTTAAAATGATACTTAATTCTGGTAAGATTCTTACAGCAAGTTTTCATACACTAAAATGTTCTTGACTGATTTTCAGGTGCCCATCTTAAACTTTTTAAGGGAACCTAATTTTTAATAAGAGAGCCTTCTGAAAGTAGGAACACTTTTACAGTATCTAGTTAGTAAGATTACTCATAATCATAGAAAATTAGGCTTGGAAGGGACCTTAGGAGGACATCTAGTCCCCCTCCCCCTGCCCAAAGCAGGACCATTCCCAACTAGATCATCCCAGCCAAGGTTTTGTGTAGGCAGGTCTTAAAAACCTCCAAGGATGCAGATTCCATAACCTCCATGTGTAACCTGTTCCAGTGTTTTACTACGTTCCTTCTGAGAGATTTCTTTTCCTAATATCTACCCTAAATTTCCCTTGCTGCAGCTTGAGACTATTGCTTCTTGTTTTGTCATCTGCCACCACTGAGAACAGTCCAGCTCCGTCCTCTTTGCAACCACCCCTCAGGCAGTTGGAGGCTGCAGTTAAATCCCCTGTCTCCTCCTCTGCAGATTAAACGAGCCCAATTCCCTCAGCCTCTTTCCAGAAGTCATGTGTTTCATTGCTCTCCACTGGACTCTCTCCAATTTGTCCACATCCTTTTTGAAATGGGGGGGGCCCAAACCTGGACACATTACTCCAGATGTGACCTCACTACTGCTCAATACAGGGAAATAATCACTTCCCTCAATCTTCTGGCAATGCTCCTACTCGTACAGTCCAGTATGCTGTTAACCTTCGCAACAAGGGCACACTGCTGGCTCATATTTAGCTTCTTGTCCACTGTAACCCCCAGGTCATTTTCTGTACAGCTGCTGCTTAGCCAGTCACCCCCAGCCTGTACTGGTGCATGGGATTGTTCTGTCCTAAGTGCAGGACTTTGCACTTGTCCTTATTGACCCCCCTTTCATAGATTCATAGATGTTAGGGTCGGAAGGGACCTCAATAGATCATCGAGTCCGACCCCCTGCATAAGCAGGAAAGAGTGCTGGGTCAGCTACATGCTTATCTAACCTCCTCTTGAAGACCCCCAGGGTAGGGGAGAGCACCACCTCCCTTGGGAGCCCATTTCAGACCCTGGCCACTCTAACTGTGAAGAAGTTCTTCCTAATGTCCAGTCTAAATCTGCTCTCTGCTAGCTTGTGGCCATTATTTCTTGTAACCCCCGGGGGCGCCTTGGTGAATAAATACTCACCAATTCCCTTCTGTGCCCCCGTGATGAACTTATAGGCAGCCACAAGGTCGCCTCTCAACCTTCTCTTGCGGAGGCTGAATAGATCCAGTTTCTCTAGTTTCTCCTCGTAGGGCTTGGTCTGTAGGCCCTTAACCATACGAGTGGCCCTTCTCTGGACCCTCTCCAGATTTTCTTTTGGTCCAATTCTCCAATTTGTCAAGGTTTCTCTGAATACTAGCCCTACCCTCTAACATATTTACCTACTACTCCCCCCAGCTTGATGTCATCTCCAGATTTGCTACGGATGCACTCCATTCCATCTTCCAGGTCATTGATGAAGATATTGAACAAAACCAGCCCCAACACCAACCACTACTTGATACCGGCTGGCCGCTAGACATCAAGCCATTGACGACCCTTTGAGCCTGATGATCCAGCCAGTTTTCTAACCAACTTAAAGTCCTTTCATTCAACCCATACTTCCTTAGTTTGCTTGCGAGAATGTTGTGGGAGACTCTATCAATGGCCTTGCTAAAATCATAGATTTCATAGACGTTGGGGCTTGACAGGACCTTGTGAGATCATCAGGTAGGGCAGGAAGTCAACCAGGGTCAGATGACCCCAGCAAGATAAACATCCAGGCATTTCTTCTTGCACCAATTCTGTGGGGAGTCTATTCCAGACTCTGTAAGCTTGGACGGTAAAGAAGTTTTTCCTTATGTCCCATCCAAAATGGTCTTCTAATAGTTTGTGACCGTTACACGTCTTCCTTTGGGGTGCTCTGGTGAACAGACATTCTCCCAGTTCCTGATGTACACCCCTTATATACTTATAGGCTGCTACCAAGTCATCCCTGAGCCTTCTCTTTTCCAGGTTGAAGAGTCCCATGCCTCTCCTCATAAGTCCTGTTCGCTTGACATCTAATCATGCACATGGCTCTCCCCTGGACTCTCTCGAGCTTCTCCGTGTCCTGCTGTGTGCTATAAAGTCCAGAGCCTAGAATTGGATGCAGTACTCCAGCTGTGGCCTCACGAAGGCCACATAAAGCGGGAAAATTTACTTCTCAGGTCTTGTTTGAGATGCATCGGTAGATGCAAGCCAGAGTTTTATTTGCTTTGCCAGCAGCGGTATCGCATTTGTCATATTCATCTTGTGATCTATCATGACCCCCAAGTCTCTTTTGGTCATGGTGCTAATGAGGGTAGCACTGCCGAGCCTATAAGTATAATGTAGGTTCTTTCTCCTGAGGTGGAGCACCTTGCATTTCTCTGTATTGAATGTCATTAGGTTTTGATCCACCCACCCTGTGAGCTTGTCCAGGTTAGCCTGAATCACCAGCCTATCCTGTAGCATGACCACATTTTCCCATAATGTGGTGTTGTCTGCGAACTTAGCCAGTCCGTTTCTGACACGCAAATCCAGATAATTTCTGAATATATTAAAGAGCACAGGTGTGAGTATTGAGCCCTGGGGGATGCCACTGATCACCATGTGCCATGCTGACTCGGTTCCAGCGACTATCACCGTCTGGGTCTGACCACGGAGCCAGTTCCCCAGCCATTGGATCGTAAGGTTGTTGAGGCTGCAGTTCCCCAATTTTGCCATGAGGAGATCATGGGAGACCAAGTCAAAGGCTTTTTTGAAATCTAAATATATGACATCAACCTCTTCTCCCCTGTCCAGGTGATGCATCACCTGGTCATAGAAGGAAATGAGATCTGTCAGGCAAGACCTACCTGCAATGAAGCCATGTTGGACATCTCTCAGAATGTTGTCTTCTGTTACCCTGTTGTTGATGGATTCTTTGATTTTGTTTGTTTGTTTGTTTTGTTTTGTTTTGTTTTTTTTCCCCAAGATCTTTCCAGGGATTGAGGTCAAACTGACTGGCTTGTAGTTTCCTGGATCTTCCTTCCTTCCTTCCTTCCTTTCTTGAAGATAGGCACCACATTGGCCTTCTTCCAGTCTTCTAGAACCTCTCCCAAGCACCATGAGTTCCCAAATATCCTTGCCATTGTTTGTGCTATGATGTCAGTCAACTCTTTTAGCACTCTTGGGTGCATTCCGTCCAGGCCAGCTGACTTGTGGATGTCCAGCCTCTCAGGCTGTTTCCTCACAAGATCTTTGCCAATTATAAGCATATGTTAGCCTTTACTCTGGTAATCCTGCATCCTGTCAGGCAGGGTGATCCCCTTGGGCTGGTGGAAAACCAATGCAAAGTAATCGTTGAGGAGATTAGCTTTTTCTTGGGTGTTGGTTGTCAGCTGCCCAGTTTGGTTCAGCAAGGGTCCAGTGTTACTCTTTTTTTTTTTTTTTTTTTTTCCAACTTCCCATGCATCTGAAGGACTATTTATTGTCCTTGATTCCTGTAGCCAGTTTGAGTTTGGTTTCAGCCTTGGCTTTTCTGCTTCGATCCCTACAGGTGTGGGCCAGTGCTGAATCCTCCTTAGTGGTATTTCCTGACTTCCATTCCTTATAAGCTTCTCTTTTCAGATTCAGGAGGTCTCTGAGTTCCCTGTTGAGTCAAGGGGGTCTCCCAGTCCTTTTGCTACCTTTCCTGTGGGCCAGAATGGATTTCCTTTGTGCTTTTAAGATTGCATCCTTAAGGAGCGACCACTTATCATGGACTCTTCTTTCCATCAGATCGTAGTCTCTCAGGGCCTCAACAACCAACCTCCTGAGCTTGTGAAAGTCAGCTTTCCTAAAGTTGAGGATTTCTGCATTGCTGACTGATTTGCCAGCTTTGCAATGAGTAGAGAAAATGATCAACCTGTGATCACTGTCACCTAGCCTCCCTTCAATCCTCTAGTGAGGTCGCTCACTAGATCATCCCCTTTGGCCAGTACCAGATCTAGCAGTGCCTTACCTCTTGTCAGCCCATAGACTTCTTGAGTCAAATAGAGCTCAGCAATCCAAGTGAGGAAGCTTTGTAACCGATCCGATTTGGCTGAATGCTCTTCCCATGAGATGTCAGGGGGGTTGAAGTCACCCATGATGACCATGCACTGAGAGCATGCAGCCTCTGCCAGTTCCCTAGAGAATTTGTGGTCAAGCTCTTGTTCCTGGTTAGGAGGGCTAGGTATATCAAGGTATATCATGTCTAACCCATATCAAGGCACGTTGCGTCGACTGCTTTTCTCATATGCACGGAGCCAGTCATCTCATCATAGAAAGCAGTGAGATTGGTCAGGCATGACTTGCTCTTGGTGAATCCATGCTTACTGTTCCTAATCACCTTCATCTCCAGGCTTTGAAATGGATGCCTTGTGAATCTGCTCCGTGGTCTATCCAGGGACTGAGATGAAGCTAGCCAGTCTGTAGTTCCCTGGATCCTCCTCCTCTTACTTAAAGATGGGCACTATATTTGCCCTTTCCCAGTCATCCAGGACCTTTCCCAACCACCATGAGTTTTCAAAGGTAATGGCCAGTGCTCTGCAATCACATCAGCCAGCTCCCTCAGGATCCTTGGGTGCATCACGTCTGGCCCCATGGATTTGTACACATCCAACTTTTCTATATAGTTCCTTACCTGTTTTCACTACTGTTGGCTGCTCACCGCCTCCCCAGACTGTGGTGTCCGGTGCAGTAGTCTGGGAGCTGACCTTGCCTGTGAAGACTGAAGTGAAAAAGGCATTGAACACTTCAGCCTTTTCTGCATTCTCTGTCACTAGGTTGCCTCCCTCATTCAGTAAAGGATCCACACTTCCCCTGACCTTCCTCTTGCTGCTGACATACTTGTAGAAACCCTTCTTGTTCCTCTTCGCATCCTTTCGTAGCTGCAACCCCAGTTGCACATTGGCCTTAATTTCATCCCTTAATGCCCGAGCAGTACTTTTATACTCTTCCCTAGTTGTTTGTCCAAGTTTCCACTTTTTGTAAGCTTCCTTTTTATTTGTTTTTGTTTTGGCTCACTGAAGAGCTCCCCACTAAGCCAAGCTGGTTTCCTGCCATATTTGCTAGTCTTCCAATACGTTGGGATGGTTTGTTCCTGTGCCCTCAGTAAGGTTTCTTTTAAAGTACAGCCAGCTTTCTTAGCCTCCTTTTACCCCTCAGACTGGCCTCCCCTGAGTAAAGAAGTTTTTCTGCGTTGAAGAAGCAGTGCACCAGGATTACCTTCAAAAGGGTGGGAGTTTCATGTTCTGTCTTGGGTGATGAAAGACGCTATAGATTGTAGTTGATCTGAGGAGAAATTTGGGTGCTGTTTGACAGCCTCACCTGGGCTGGCGCTGTTTGTCCAGTCTCTACCTTTGCAGTTAACTCTGTAGCCACTCTTAGTTACCTTTTGGTGTTTAAATGAACTTCTCGCAGCTGCTATCTGACATTGGTGCGTGATTCTTGGTGTGCGTTTGTCTCTCTTATTGACTACTGGGGAAAAAAAGGTCCGTGTGTAAAGAACTTTTGGAATGGCAAGATTCGACTGCGCTTTCTTGCACAATAAATGGGAATTGAAGTTTCCTGTTCTTGTTGTTCCTTTTTTTGGAGGGGAGATTATAAGCTTCATCCAAGGTCTTGAAGAGGCAAATGGGAAGCCTTAGCCAACTCTTCCAAGGAACTGTTCGCATTATGGAAAATATCTTTTTTTGTTTTTGTTTTTTTGTTTTTTTTTAACACACAACTTCCTCTTTATTGAGCCTGGGAAGGAAGGCTGGTTTTGTTTTTGCAAGCTTGTTTGTGTTTTTTGTTGGAGAGATGCTTTTATACATGGTGACCAATGTAGTCACAAAGTGGAGAATGATTTGGCAGCTGTCTTGTCCATTTAAAGCAGGGGTGGGCAAAATGCAGCCCATGGGCCGGATGTGGCCTGCCAGGCCATTCTGTCCAGCCCGCGGGGCCCCTAAAAAATTTAGAAAATTAATATTTATCTGTCCCTGACTGTCTGTCATATAGCCCTTGGTGGCATGCCAAAACTCAGTAAGCGGCCCTCCTCCCGAAATAATTGCCCACCCCTGAGTTAAGGAGCTTGCAGGAGGAATTGTTCAGGAGTGTTCTGCAGACGTACAGGTCCAGTTCATGTGCCATTCACATCATACATTGCAAGACATATTTTGATTTGGCCAAATTCAGTTTGTGAGCAGTGGTATGTGCGCGTGCATGCGCACCTTAATTTAGCATTCTCCTGTATTGCAAGGGAAATGAGTTAGGTTAGCATTAAAAGTGGAAACAAACAAGACTGACCAGACATTTTTTTTAAATTAATTTGAGCAGCAGCTTCAGTTCCTGTGTGGGTGATAGTAATGTGAGATTTTAGTGGGTATTTGTATCTAAACCTTTTACAACAATGGAAGATAAAGGGTTTCATCTTTTACACTTTAGAAAAAGTGCTTACATTTCTGACAAGTCAAATCTTGCTACTTAATGTTTTCAGCATGTACCCTGGAAAAATCCACCTAACATTTTGAATACACTTGAGCTGGAAAACAGATGTTTGTTGAATTTTTTGGCTATGTAAGAGGTCACTGGAGAAAGCTGTACAGCATTCTATAAGAGACAGTTTTGTTTTGAGGGCCTGTCTAGAAGCATTGCTTTTTAATCTTAATGTTTGCGTATTTTAGCTTTAATATGTATTATGCAATTCCAGATTCCCATTTACAAATGGAGATGCAAATAAATTTGTCACTCGTTCATATAAAGCATAAAAAAGTAAAACTAACACCAGACTTTCTCATGGGAAGATCTCCAATTTAGGTAAATCATCTTGAGTGTGTTTTTAATAGACCAACCCACTAAAATCAACCCTTCATGAGAGATCAAGTAGTATGCAATCTATATTCATTTTTTCCTTTAGAAATAACATTGTTAAACATTCTTCTCCTGAGAGAAATGCACTTAATTAGAGAAACTGTGATTTACAAACCAAAACTAGAATAATAAGTTTGTAACAAGTGCCCTGTGTATCTTGTCATCTTGTGAAACTTCATAAACGTTCTGACACAAACATAAAGACTTGATTACTTTTGAATTTCATGACAGAAACCTCTGAATGTGATTGTTCTCAAAACTTCATTTGCCACAGAGTGTAATTGCCATAGATACGGTTATGTATAAACAGCTTAATTGCGCTGTACAGTAAGACCTGATTAATTTCCCACTTTAAAATAGTAGTCTTTTCATAGACATTACTTGGAATTGGATCAGGTCCTGTATTCTTCACTAGATGGGAAAACAGTGAGGAGGTATATAATCCAATGACATAATGATAAATGCTGTTAATGTTTTGTGCTTCGCTAGTGAAAATAATGTATTGTAACTATATTATGCAAATGTTGTCTCTTTTAGGACAAAAGACTGTTTTGACAAATGTTCAAGAAGAACTGGATAGAATGACTCGCAAGCCAGACTCGATGGTAACAGCAAACTCTTCACCAACAGAAAATGAAGCTTGATAGTGCTTAAAAATGCATATGTAAATGACCAAATAACTATGTATATTGATCTGATAAGACCAGGAGTTTTCTGCTGTGGCAGATGCTATCAGTTTTCTTGGGGCAGGGGAAATGAACTTAAACTTCATTGGCTTGTCCCAGTATAAAGTGCACATTCAGGAAGTTTGCATATAAAATCCCTCTGTATAAGATAACCATGTAGAGTTTATATAGGGCAATTCTTTTGATTTTGGAGGTTAGCAGGTGCAGCTGCATTTCTTGTTATGAAGAGCACAGAGAAGCAAAATGCAGGATTCCTATTGAAATACTACTACTGACTGCACATGAAGCAAGAAAGACAAATTCCTTTTTCAGAGTTACTGGAATTGGCCATTTGTATGTTTACAAATGCATTTGTATACTTGGAAAGGGGGTGATGTAGCTGAGCATTATTAGATGAGGAAAGAAACCAAGGTAGGAGATGCAGCACAAAAAGGGGAAACAGATTTGGCTCAGTGCGGGGGGGAAAAAAGAATGTTGGATGGACTGGAGAGGAGCAATGTTACTAAATCCTGTGGTCGACGTAGGGACAGTAATCACTGTTTTAAAAGGACTACTTTAAATTAGACTTATCAGCCAAACACTAAGCGTCATGGGAAATTATCCTGGTTACATATTGTCTTTAGTTTTAGCAACAAAGAAAAAGTACAGAATGTGGATGCCCTTTTTTGGTGTAGCTGACATGGGAGAAACTATAACTTGCTTAGATCCAAGTGCCTGGCACTGTGTGATTCGTTCTTAGAAGGTGCTTGAACCTTATTGTGCACTGTAGTACAAATGGTCACTGTTCGGTTTTTATTTTAAAATCGATAGTTTTGACAACTTATTTAATTTTAAATCTTATTTTCTGATAGCTCCTGCCTTTTTTCTAAAAATGCCAAGTGGCTAGCTTACTACAAGTGATGGGTGTCGCATCATTTTACCATACTGAAAAGTGCTACAGAATACTCAAAAATATCTTTTTTTTTATTTTTTATTTTTTTTGTAACTTAATATTAGCTACCAAGCTGAAATTGATTCCCGCCTTACGCCTGGAAAGGTTGTCTTTCAAGGACCCTGTTTCCAACCACATAGGCTGGAGTCTATAGCCTGCTCCAGTTCTAACAAGAAACTGAAATTATGAATGTGTACATGGTGACTAGAACCAATGATTTTTGTTCTTTGTTTTTTCTTAATGTAGCATTTTCATATGGAAAGATGGATTGCAGTTGTCCCCTGTTGCTGTAATGGAGTTGTGTCCATGGGCACTTCAAACCATCATTCCGTAAAAAAAAACAAAAAAAAAAAAACCAACAACCCCCCCCCCCATATATGGTTACTGAAATGGCACTTTGATTTTTATATAAGGTATATCTGTTTTACATATAAACACTACCATAAGTTAAAAGTACCAAGCATATTCTGTGCTCTTATTGCTGAAGGGAAAAAAACCACAATTTGAATTATGCAGAGTTTACTTTTTATGGATATAAACTTGTTGTACTAAATCTGATGTCTGGATATAACTTCCGTAATATATATTGTTACTTAAATATACAGAATTAGATTGACCACTAACAATACTGGACATAACTTCAAATGCTGTTACATCAAGAGGCTGTTTTTTTCCCTTGTTTTTGTGAGTTTGTCTAAATGCTATCTAGAAAACTAAGAGTATTTACTTGCCTCTTTGACAAACATTAACATAAGCCTATTACTTGTACCAGTTTTATTTTTTAATTATTTTTTTTTACTTTTTTTATACAAGGTTAGTTGCACAGTTGTTTAGATTAACAAGTAATCTGTGAGCCTGTGGGCTGCTGACAGGTTGTGTGGTGGTTCTGCCTGGTGTGTGGGATGCCAGGTGCATATCACCGCACCAGCAGAAGTAATTGCATACTGTCCTTGGGCATTGAGGTTTTAAATTGGGGAATAAAACATCAATGGTAAAACCAGAAAATCTGAAGAAGTATATGTTCATAAAGGCATACAGTTGTGATGAGAACCTTAGTACAAGACTACAAGACTAATATTTTGTCATTTGAACCGAAAAGCACTTTCTATACTAGTGTGGTTAAAAGTTAAGATTTGAAGTATTTTCCATTTTCATAAAAAATTCTTTTAAGATTTGATCAAAGCCAGGAAATGTATTATATTTTGTCAGTTGTGTAAAAAGAGGCTTCTGACAAAAACAAGTTTGATTTCCACTTTCTTACTGCAAGTGAATGCTCCTAGTTTGTTGGAAGGAAGTTTGTAAGTAATGTAATGTCCAGTGGTTGCCAAAGTCTACCAACTTTGGAGAGCTGCACATTTGTTTTTCTGGTGTTTTCAAGCGTTGGAACCAAAGGCCAAACTGCAAACAGCCTTCACGTTTTAAAGTAAAATTTAATTTTATTTGCAGGATACACTTGTATGGTAGACTGTTAAAACTATTATATGACTATATTTATATGCATTATAGTGATTGCATCTACTGTTCATGTTTAAACTAAGAAAATAAAAAAAACTATTCAACTTGAAGATAAGGCAGATATAAAGGTTAAGGATTGGCCCTCCATAAAAATGCTATGGTTATGCTGCTTGATTTTAAGTTTGCACTTTTTTATTGGCGTTTTACAAACTGTGTTTAAACTGAACAGAATTTGTCATATTTTATTTTATTTAACTATGTTGAAAGTGACTGCTTTGTACATCATGAACTTAACAATATACATGTTGTAAATGAAAGTTCCCTGTCCTGTACACTAAGTTTATTGATATTTTGGTTTTGGTTTTTGGTTTTCTTGGGTTGTTTTTTTTTTTTTAAACTTACAATTAGGACTGCAGATGTATCGAACACAAACGTTAGTCCAACCGTATGGCTTTAACCAGGTGCAGTATGCGGTCATGTGGAATCTTGCTTTCTAGTGCTGGCGAAAATGAGGACGTCTTTAATTATTGGCTTCAATAAACACGAATCCAGACTGCTTAAAGTTGTGCCTTTTTTTCTTAACAAGACCCTTCTAGAACTATTTTCAAGGGGGAAGGGTAAAAGAAAAGCAAGCGTGAGCTACCTCTTCGTTTAGCACCATAAGCTAGCAGTAATGGCTTCCTAAGGGAACAATCCTGTCAGATCTTATGTATGCAGCATTTCTGTTGAATTCAGTGGTCATCTCTATATTACCAACATTTGATGGCATAATTATGCCAATCAGGAAGATGCAGAGTTATACCTGCAAATCTGCACCCTTGTATTCAGCTTGGAGGCACAGGGGAAGCTGGATGAACCTATACAAAGTTCTAGTACTATAGGCCGCCTCCAGATAAGCGCAGCTGTGCGGTATGTGGTGCCACATACTGCACATTTAAATATTCTCCACGCTGCAAGGGAGTGCTGCCCATGTGTGTGCTGCTCTGCTTTTTTTCTGCAGGTTTTTTGAAACCTGGATATCCAGGGGTCAAAAAAAAACCATATGGGGGGGTGGGGGGGGAATGCTGAACAGCACACTCATGGGCAGCGCGTGTCGCTCAAAAGCAGAGCTGGGCCATCCAGAACTGCACTGCGGCTCCTGGCCAGGCTCAGCATGGCAGAATCACCACTGCTGCAGCCCCGTGAGGCCCTCAGGACCCCAGGTAAGGCTGCTGGGGCCAGCCCAGTGCTGGTCCCAGCCTCCCCTACCCGACCCAGGGTAATTTGCTGTGCACCAAAGTGTGCGTGGCACAGGCGTTCCCTGGAGACAAGTAGCAGCGGCACAAGGTGCACCACTGCTACTTGTCCCCGGGGAACCAAACATCAGTGTTCGTCTGGACAGAGTGCAGTTTTGCCAGTCTGTGCTGCACCCATACTAGGACGGCGTTGCTGGCATACTATACTGCTGTGGCTCTATCGACAAAGCCTTCAGGTCTCGTTTGGGCCAAAGGTCTTAAGCACTGGGCCCAGGTTACAGGAATGAAAGGGAAGGAGATGCTATCCAATTTCCTATTCTCTGCTAAAAGCAATTCTGAACTCCATTTCCTAGGCTTCCAGTAGCCTTCTATCTTATCTGCCTCTTCTGGGCTACTTTAGCTGCTAATAGCTAACTTTTTTGGCTCCATTTCACCCACTTGCTTGACTTTTTTTTCTCCCTCCTTAAATATTTAGCAACTCTTTTGCAGAGCTAGGATTTTAACTTGTATCTACCATAGAAATTCTGGTTACTCCATAGAAATTCTGGTTACTCCAACTTTTATTATTTTTGTTTCAATAAAAAGTGACCGACTCCTTCAATTTCAAGTTTGTTTGCATTCAAAAATATAAAGTTATTATTGCATTCAATTCGTGTGAAGACTCATGACAGCAATAATACTGTTGGCTTGGTTTTTTAATGAGAAGTAAGCTCATAGGCAAATCGCATTTTAGTAAGAGCTGATTTAATGCTATTAAAGAATAGAAAACAGTAAACTGAAAACAAAAGGGCTAAAACAATAAGAAAAAGCTTAGAAAACTTTAAAAGATGGAAGGAGAGAAGACTCGCATGAAGTAATTGGAATAAATGCAATATTATTTTTGATATGCAGTGTATGAAGTACAATGTGATGCTATTTTCTGGTCATTGCTTGGGTCAGAATTTAGGGAAAAAAGGTTAAAATGGAAGGAAAAGGAGATAAATGATACTTGCACTAATGAAAACAAACTTGCAGTTTCATGTTTATGGGAACCGGTGAAAAATTACAGTATCTGAACAACTGAAATACTTTAACAAAATGACACAAGTACGTTTGCAATACTAGTACAGCGACTGAGACTATACAGGAGAAGGGTGGAGGATGCTGTTCCTTTTGGCATGTTTTTGAAGTGCAGACACCAGGCTTAATTGGCTCTGAGCTAGTGGTGATGGCTGTTACGGGTGGGGACCACTGACATTTCGATTGTGTTTTTTGCAGAAAACGCAAAATTGGGCAGGCTCTGCAAAAAATGGCGGGCTTAAAATAAAAATTACCAGCCAGCAGAGGAAAGGGCGGGAAGCCCTGCAATCTTGGAGCATGGGGAGGAGAGGGAGAAGGGTTGCTCGCAGCAAGAGGTGGGGAGGCTGCAAGCAGCTGCGCTGGGCTCCATGGAGCCCCAGCCCAGCTCGTTGCATGTGTGCACCCACCACCAGCAATAAGCTGAGCCACAGTGCAGCCACTTACAGCCTTCCCCAAGGCTCTGGACTCTGGGCAGACCCCTGCCACGGAGCCCAGGCCAGCTGTGGCCAGTAGTTACACCAGGGTCCACAGAGTCCTGGCCCAGCTCATTGCTAGCAGTAGGTGTGTGTGTGCCTCAGGGCAGACAGCGGAGAAGGCACTGGGGCAGGGGCTGAGCTGCACCTGCCATTGGCATCAAACCAGGTCCGGACTCTAGTGCAGCCACTTGCAGCCTCCTGGCTGCCTGCCACAGCCAGCCTGGGACCCTGGTGCAGCTGCTTGCAGCCTCAACTTGGGGGTGGCCTGAAACTGTGGCTTAATTACCTTGGTTAAACCCGGGGAAGTGCTGAATAACATGGATTAATGGCTTCCCCGGGCTTAATCAGGGCAATTAAGATGTGGTTTTGGGCCATATGGCAATATGGGTGGGGGAAGGGCAAGACTGCTGGGCCCCTCAGCAGATGAGAAGCATGGGGGAACCCCCACCACATACAGCCTGCAAAAATCGTGGATGGCCACACGATCTGCCCATGAAATCAGCCAGTTGCCTCCAAGTTAAGTAAACCCCTGGTTATTGGGTATTGTTTTCTCTCTTTAGTCTTTCTGCAGTCTTCCCCTTGTTAAACCCAGTTGCACCCATGTTAGGGTAGCTGTACAACAGCTTTTTAATTTGAGCTTTGTATTCATTTGCTACTGGTGTTAGATGGCTATGGTATATGTTCAGCTGACAGTTTTTGAATAGCTCTCCGATAGTTGGGGAAAAGTTGTTTTTGTAAGAGAATATCTAATATAGACCTGTTTCCAATTCAGGGAGGGAGCTAGCTATTTCAGCCTGCCAAAATATTTGACTCTTAGGATATAGCCTGGATTTCAGGAAATAAATTCACTCCTGTACCAAGAATTTGAGCCTGATCTTATTCTAGGTTTTTCTTTCTTTCTTTTTTTTTTTTTGTTTTAATTACAAACATCAGAGTTATACAATCAGGGCAGGTGGGCTCAAATCAATGTTTGTTCTTTGTTGGTTCTGCCAGGAATTCTTTCCCGGAAGCAGGCTACCTGCAGAAGTCATTACTTTTTACCTAACTGAATTGATTAGAGTGGGTTGTGTGTTGCGGGGGGGGGGACGGACGGACAGGAAAGACCTGCAAAAATGTTTACTTCTAAGCAAAAAATCAAACCTAAATTATTTTGACCAAGAGACAGAATAGTTAAATCCAGAAACTGTTCACCAACATGGTAGCTTTGAGGAATTAGAGTTTAGGGGCCTTGTGTTCCTCTTCTCTCTTCTTCCTGCTTGAATATTTAAGAGATTTCTCTGTGTTGATGAGGGACATGGTGCAGCCTGGGAGTTTCCTGATCAGATTATGTTGGAGGCCAGATGAAATTTGACTGTGGGGCCTGTCCCATGGAGGAGAAAAGGGACCTGAGGGACTGAACTCCAGCTCCCAGAGTGCTCTAGTATATCTGTATTTTTGTTTTGAGCTGGAAATTTAACTTGTCAGCTGTTCACCTTTTTGCTTAACAAGCCAAACATTCTAAAGCAAGCAGGCAGTTTTCTCAAAAGAATTGTTTTCCCAAAAGTGTCACTAGAAGAGCTCAGCCAGCTCTGCCTTCAAGTTACTTAATAATTTGGGAACCATCCCCAGGTCTGTTTCTTGTGGAAGTAGGGGATGCTGAGCCTAGAATTAAGCAAGCCAAGCATTCTGAATTGCTGCTTTGTGAGTCCATGCAACTGCTGTTATCCAGGTGTCTGAGAGGGTGTTTTTTTTTTTTTAATTTCCATGGCAATATAGTCACAGAAAAATGTAATGTATAAGCAGAGCCATACTGATTTTTGCTGTAAGAGTTTCATGGGTGAAAACAACTGGGTCTAGCATCTTTGCTCCAAGAAGTTTGAATGGAAGTGAACACCAACTTGCAGATATGTAGCAGAGCTCACAGTTTGAGTTGTGTTCAGTAAAGCTCATAAATGGATTGTAGTGCTCTTAAACCTTTTTAGGGTCCTTCCTACCATCTACAGAAGCTTTCTTCACAAGCATATTTACACAGTGGGTATTGGCCTGAGCTGAAGAGATGCCATGTTATCTGCAACTCCCACTGAAAAGTCAATTTAAACTCCAGTGCAATTTGAGCCGGAGTAAACAAAAACCCTATGTCACCACCTAAACGTGCATTTAAGTGCAATAATTTACTCCACCATCAGATAGTACCAGTATCTTACAGCGCCACTGAATAATCCTGTCAATTAGTCTACACTGGCCCAGTTGCCACACATGTAGACAGTGACGCTTTACTGCACTGTAAATTAGTCCACTGCACAGGAAAGCATATGTGTAGACGCGCCCACAGATTATCAAAATTATTCTGCTAGTTTTTGCTGTTTAGATGCATTGTATCCAAAGAGAGACACTTTCTCTGATTATATTTCTCTCTGGCAAATTAGGTCAGAATGATTATGTAAACATAGTGAGACAGAAATATTTCCATGTGCTAATATAATATGGCACAGATTAGGCCATTGCTTTTAGGATAAAGCTTGCAACTACAAAAGGACCATGTCATCTTTACTGCTTGCTGCTGAAAAATCTCCTGCAGCCAGTTGTTTTTTTTTCCAGCTTATACCAATGTTAAAAAAATCCTTGCAGTTCTAAGCGTCACCTCTTCTGTGCCTTGGACCAAAAGCTTAATTGCATGAAGTCTAGTCCTGCTTGAAAACAATAGTATATAGTGTGTCACTAAATACTGTAACCCATGCATCCATGCAGGTAGACTAGATGAAACCTGAAGGTTTGACTTTCCAGCATTAATTTTCTTTCAGTGTAGTGG